TCCATTCGTGTGAACTCTCCCCCCCCCCCTCGTACGATGATTCCCCCATTGCCTGCAATGACGGTCTTCAATCCCCTCTACCCTAATAACTGAACTCTTACGTTGCAATGCCGGCGACAAAATACCCACAACAACCCCGACCCACCCGACCAAATCCAAGTCGTGTCCTCTGAATACACGGTAGGAAATCGCGGCATGAAAACCTTAAGATCGCCAAACACGTGTCGACCGCCATCCGTCGGCAAAAGTTTCCTAGCTGCGATGTTGGCTGACTTGCTGTAACGTTGATTTATCTCTGCGGCCGTGAGACAGGAGGTGTCATGCCGCGCAACCTTTTGAGACCTTCGATGAAGTGGTCGTACTCGCACAACAGGAGGAGCCGGGTCAAAGTTTCCATCTTAACCTCTGCCTCGTAGGGGCCACGTGCGCCCGGGGAAAAGTCGGCGTTCCCGGCAAGCTCCGCTAGACCCCTGCCGGACACAAACGACAACGCGCAAGCAAGTTCAAAGTAATTCGGGCGTGCGTATCTGATGATGGACTCCACGGTGTCGATGAGATCGCTCGCGTGCACCGTTAATCCACGTCTGCACTTGACCTCCAAGGATTCCTGTCGTTTTATTCTCGGTATGCTTTTCTCCTCCGGGGTGAGCTCTAACCGGGAGACGTAGGGCGGTAGCAAGCGCACATTCCTAAGGAGGTCGCCAATATCGGCGAGTGAGTCCAGTGAAAGACACCTTCCGCGAGTGTATCGCGCGCCGGGCCGACCACTTTCGGGGAAGGTCTTATTTCCCGAATGACACAACGCGATCCCAGGCCGTCTGTAGCTGTTTCAGGTATCCCTTCGGCATCTTCGACTTCTTGGCCGTGGATGACTTCTTCTTGAGAAGGACGAGCAATTGCCGGATTTCTATCTTGACGGGACCTGCGTTGTGCCCGGCGCCGAAATTTTGCATCCACACTTCCCGAACCCTTGCGACGTTCTTGAGCCAGGGTGGAGCTTTCTCAGCACCTCTAGAACCTCGAGCGGATTCTCGTGTTCCTCCAACCATTTGGCGCACATTGAGACCTTATTGTCCGCATTGAACACTACTAACAGCGACACACATAATATCCTGCATTTTTCTTACAATAGGGCTACCTCTCATCCTTCCCGCTACTATCAAATTTCTTCTTTTTTGTGCGCCCTCTCCCCAGGCTACCACGAGTGCGATTGCACCTTAGTTAGGCACTTCACGTCCACATTTTCCGCGGTGTGGGGCAGCGAGCAGTCGAGGCGATCGAGCGTTGGCTGCCGTTCACTGTAAATAGCCCAGACAAGCTCGCAGGTGCACAGGTTGCATCTACCTCCGTAAGAGTGCAGGAGTTGTTGAACAAGGGCTTCTCTGTGCCTTCCACCCTCTTCTGGTCCAAGACGCCCGGCAGTAACGTCGGCATAGATGTAGATCTAGCTCAAAACTTTCCTAGAAAACCATGATACTTTCTCTCGGTCGAACATGTTGCTCTCGCTGCGGTGAATATCGTCGATGACCCTCACGTTCGAGGGTCCGGTCGCTCGACTGACAGCCGTGTACAGCCAGTCAGTGCACGTCGGCGTGAGGATGCCGGGCCTGATGTATGATCAACCTCCCTTCCACGGTACGGCCTTGGACCGCGTGTACTGTACATGACCCCGGGGGGTCAAACAAGTTTTCTGCCTCGACAGAGTGACGTCTCCTCCAGACTGACGGCCCCGTCAAAAACGCTTGCGACAACGACCTCATCTGCTGAGGATCGGATGCTGTTGTAGGTGTGATTCCTGTGAAACTTGCCCAGGTCCCCGAGGTCCCGGTGTTGAGCACCTACAACTGTTTGACGCCCCAGCCCATCCCAGCCACCAGCTTCGTCGCACCCCAGCAACCCTCGAAAGGCGTGGAATCGAGCACAGTCTCAAGTGGAAGCAAGGTGAAAATCTGAAAGGCTGGGGTCGCTAGCCGTTGGGAGTTCACGACCAAACCTCTCAATGGCTCGAGTTTGCGCCTCGTGGCTGTCGTCTCCTGCAGCCAGAATGTACAAGAGGCCGTCGTCCATCTCCACCTGTTCTTCGACAGTTTTATCCCGCTTTTGCGCGAAGACGAGAAAGCATATGGGGAAGGCGTTTTCGAGGATGACCCTCATGTCGACGTTGTCCTTGCTAATTGACATGCCGCTGCTATCGCACACGGGTTGGAGTTGGTGCGTGTCGTATGTCCCTATCACGTGTGTGCCGCTGCTATGGGCAGCAGCCAGGATCATGCTTAAAAATCGCTGAAGCGAAGTCTCATCTCCTCTTGCACCGATGAAGATCCCCTGAAGAATACCGCGTCGCACTGGTAGCTAAAGTCAGACGCGCCGCAAGATTCGAGAGCGTTCCTCGCCTCCAACACTCGCAATCGAGTTTCGTCAAGAATGAGCGCACCCAACGCCCAGAAACCATCTCTGTACCATGTTCGTTCCGCATCCAAACAAAGGTATGTATCACCGGTGCGAAGTGACTCGATCCCAAGCTTCTCCTGTCCCGTCCGAAGTTCAGCCTTCACGCGATCGACCTCGCCTAGGACAGGCACAATTTTGCCGCCCACAGCGAAAGCCTCGTCACAGCCCGTAACCATGACAGCGTCTATCCTGTCTGCGTATCTCTGCTGCAACATGCCACTGGCCCGCACGAATATTTGTTGTGGAGAACACCTTCATAAAGGTTGAAACTCCCCAACGTCTGTCGATGACGAAACCCTCTTTTCCACAATGAGTGACGTCGACGAAGAGATGTCAGGTGTCTGCCTTTGGTTGCAAAAGACACGGGTTGAAAACCCGCTGCTCACCTAATTTTCTTCCGGAATACGGAAAAAGAAAAACGGTGGGTGGGCCAAGAAACGATGCACTGTTGTCTATCGAACTCGAAACTTCTGGCAATCAATGCGTGGCGGAAGTGGCGCACCCGCAACACGCACAGAAGATTGTTGGAAAAAAAGGTGGTTCTACTCGCCGCCAGCCGGTCGGGTTCCGGTTACCCTAAGAAGACTTCTCTTGCCTAGCAAACAAGAAGAAGCCTCGAAAAAGGGGGGGGTAATGTGGAGAACACCTTCATAAAGGTAGAAACTCCCCAACGTCTGTCGAGGACGAAACCCTCTTTTCCACATATTCCTTTTTTGAATTATTTGCGTGCACAGACAGTCTGCATCCTGTAGGAGGGGATAACCCAACTCATGCGCGAGCAGGTCTTTCGCCAGGGTGGGTATGTGACACATGCTGACTACCCTCGACGGCCGCACGAAATGGGTAACTCTATGGCGAGCAGCAGTGTCGACGAGGTCGAGGTAACGCTTGTAGTTTCGACCGAAGACTGGTGATACATCCGCGTTCAAGAATACGTCGTCAGGTTTGCCGAGTGCATCCAGTTCTATTTTGTGCAGGGTCCAATTCTCAATGTCGTGGTCATCGTACTCCTCCACCTCATCCACGTGGCCGAAAACGGGCACTACCTCCATGCTCATAAGGGCCGCAGTGTGTGCCCCGTTGATGTCACACTGCCAACCTTCCGTCCCGTATGAAGTCCCCGACACTTCCTCGGCACCGACGATTGGTCCCCGCCAGCATACCTCGAGAAGGGCGAGGAGGGACTGGCTATACTGGCTCGACACTCTAAAGTCAAATACGGCGTGGAAAAACTTCAGACCCAGCTCATTGTGCAGCTCGATCAATCTTGTCGCTTGGTCGGGCTCGAACCCATCAGGATCGAGTCCGCCCATGCTCGCGCTGCACCACGTTCGGATGGTTATACCGTGTGCCGACACCGACAGGGAGTCCCAGTGGCTGTAGCTGGAAAGCCTACCCCTTCAAGAGACTCCAACGAGGTGCAAGTGGAGCTTCAGCTCGTCGAGAGCCGTTCCCGCCGGCGAGTACCACATATTGAACTCTGATGTTCTTCCACGCTTCCGCTTTTTCCGTGCTGGCTGCCTGTTGGTGGCCGTTCTCCACCTCTGATTGGTTGATGGCCATCAGATCGCTCACAATATCAGCGACACACGTGAAGGCCTTGCTTCCGCACTCGGTGGTGTCCGGTTCCTCCTTCACTTGGATCGCCTCGGCAGTCCGACGGAATCTACGCTGGGTTCTGACACTATGTTCGATGCTACGTCCAAAGATGATCCAAACCGGTTACACCATGGCCCGTCGAGCTCCAACCGGTAAACGTGTCCCTCACGAACTCCAACGTGTAATCCTCGCGGCCGGAGGTCTGTTTTCTTGTCGATTGGCCCGAGAACGTGATCACCAGAGCCCCTGTGTGACCACACGACGACGTTCGCCTTGGTCTTGATGAGCCACTTTTCCAGGTCTCGCAGTGTAAGGGCGGGTGGTTCACTAACTCCAGCAAGCCACATATCGAACTCTTCGCTCCCCACGTCGCGACCAAACAGCACCGAAAACAAGTTTCGGAAGTAGTTGCCACCATCCAATGCATTCCTCAATGTCTACGTCGTGACGACTTGTTTGTGCGCGCTCGACTTTCACACACAGCCACACGGTGCTCTTTGATGACTTGACTGAACCAACCGAGCGTGCGTCGTGGAAATAAATGATCCGCGAAAAAGGAGGCGCAAAGGGGAAATTGTCCTCGGCTTCCATGGGGTGATGGCACCTTTTGGAGCTCTCCTCTGGAACGACATTGATTGTTAACCCACCCCCGTTTCATGGGCCTCTTATTCTTGTTTGGCTAGACAAGGAGAGCGATACCCAGGGGTAAAAAGCCGAAAGAGGCGTAGCGATGGCACCCCAACACCAACAACAACGAACGGCGGGCATGTTTGCATGTAAAAACATCTTGTAGAGGGCTTTTTTCAGTAGATACATTAGGAAACATACATACAAACACAGAAATACTACCCCTATGTGTATGGGGCCATTCCCGTATTAACCCCTTGGTTGTGAAGCAATCGAGCTTTGAAAGTAGGTCTAGGGGCGTGCCGCGTCTCTCATCCGCTCACTGACGCTAACCGGGACCCGACACGCTGGAAGGGTATTATCTTCGATCCTCTTATCCCTTCAAATCTTCTGCGCGCTTTCTTCATCCACCAGCGTCGCCACGTCCGTCCGTCAGAAGCTGCACAGCGTCGAAAAACTGTTTTCGCTGGCTCCACTCATTTTGTGGCGGTGGGTGGGTGTGGCGGGATGTGAAGCCGGGCTTCCTTCTTTTCCACCAAAAATATTTCAGGCACTTGTCTCTTATCCGTCCACGCCGCCAGTTGTAACAGAGGAAATCGTCGTCGACAGACGTTCGTTTTTGTTTGTTTTAAAGTTCACCTCATAAATTGGACAGGAGTCTTTTGCATCGAAAATAACTATTATTCGTCCATCCCGTCTGAATTCCAATGAACACAATTTGTCAAGTAGCACAAAACGATGGTACAGACGAGTCGTCGACTCATAAATTATCGGAAAGAAGCAGCAGCAGCAGCAGCAGCAGCAGCAGCAGCAGCAACAGCAGCAGCAGCAGTTGAAAAATGGACTTGGCATCTCACACGCCTCCCCCTCCGCAAGTCTTTGACGCTCTTCATTCTCCTTAGTTCATTCTCCTAGTACGAACACAGACGAACACACGGCTCCGCCCTGACGCTTTTCTTTTGACAACCAACATGAAAATTCGCACGTTTTTCCATTTCCTTTCTCTCCAAATTGGCAGTGTTTCTATTACCTGCTCCCCACTCCCCCCCGCACCCCTTCACGACAAGATTTGAACACCTCGGTGACCCTGAGTGTTGCCCCCCACCCACCCACCCACCCCTTCGCAACAACAGGAGTTCACCTTGCCAACCCCAAAACTGCCTCCCTTTCTTTCCCGTAAGAATTTTTTGTTCGTTTCCCCCAAGAAAATTTTCTGAACACTTTCTTTCCTTTCCGGCCGACCGTCGGAAACGCCACAACAAATTTATCCGCAAACCACCGTAATGACACATGCATGACGAAATACCTCTCTAAGCCCTTCTTACTCTCCGGGCACCTATAATATCTACCACGAGAAAAAAAAATCCGAACTGAAACCAACGAGCCAACCGACGCATGGGTGCGAACTCTTCTCGTGCTTTTACTGCCATGAGATCTGAGCCAAAACGTCGCCAAGCCTCTCCCTTTTCACCGCCCTTGCCTGAAACACTCGAAAAAATGGATCCAACAAGTGTGCTCCACGACATACATTCAACGACTTGATCCAGATAGATGGATGACTTGCCATGGAGTAGTTACTTGCCCCACACACAACCCGGCGCTATGTTTCATACTTCTAAACATGTTCCTCCCTCGTGTGTGCTTGCACGCGGGCGCGCGCTATTTAATTGGTCTTGGCCATATCAAGCACATCACTCATCCTACAAGAGGATGGGAAAATAGTAAAGAGTTGACAAAAAATGACTCACGTACGTGCTGCCAGTACCACCATAAAAAAACAACACATAAACCTCCATGCCCCTGTTGTTACAAGGGAGTCAGGTCGGTCAGGCCATATCCCCCCTCCCCCCACTTCCGTCTCAACGCCTCACGCAAGGGCAACGAAAAATCAACAAAACTAACAAAAGCTCAAGGAACGACGACAGACACAGCAGCAGCAGCAGCAGTCCAATAACCCGCCGCCTCGTCCAACGCCCCACGTCTGTACGCTCGAAGCAAAGCGTGCCTGCATACACTGACGCATAACAACCATTTGTACACGCCATCGATTAGGGGCACCGAACTCTGACACAAATCGGGGCCGTGGTTTTCCCTTACGAGGTGGACTCCATCATCGGCAGCTCGTTCAGCGACGGTGGCGGCTGGTGGGACCACCGGTTGTTGTCGAATAGGAGGTCCTTGAGCGTTGTCAACGCGCCCAGCCCGACCCCGCCATCCAACGCGAAGCGGTCGTGGTCGTGAGGCATGGCGAAGAAACTTTGCTGCCGCTGCTGCTGCCTAGCGGGCGCCGCTCTCGCCTCCCCACCGCCGCCAAACCCACCTGATAGGTGCAACGATGTCGACAACACCCTACTGTCCCCGGTTGGCTGGTCGGTCCCTTCCGCGGCGGCGGCGGCGGCGGCCGTGTGTACCCCCCACTGGCCGGTCGCGTCGGCTTGTTGCAAGAGCTGGTTCCAAGCCAAGCCCTCGGAGGATGACGGGTGCTGGTACTGGAGCGGCTGGTACTGGTGGTGCGAATGGGCCAAGGTCGAGGGAGCAGCAACAGCAGCAGGAGCCTGCTTTGTAATGGAGAGAGAAGAGGGAGGCAGGCATCAGCACGTCATTCTTTGCGCGGCCGGTAGGTGCCTCCGCAGTCAACGAAAAGACACACACCCTCCCCGCTGACGTCTGCCAGTCGCGACACCCTGTAAGCCCTATTTGTAACACCCTGCCGTTCTGATCAAGCAGTGACAGCGCCTGTACAACACCGAGCCGTCGTCGCCGCCTACCGAGGTCACTCGCTCTCACAAAAAACTAGCCATCAAAAAAACATTTTCCAAGCCGCGCAACTGCTCTCGCCGCCGTTACATCCAGTCCAAAGCAGTGTTATGCATACAACACACAAAAAAAGAAAACTCCGACTCACCAACCCTTCAAAGCTCGCCCGCCTGTAACATGCCCCGTACAAGGCCTCCTCCAAGCTCGTGCGCGCCGCCATCATGCTCACCGCCGCCACCTGCTCGGCCTCCGCGTTACCGCCTCCGGGGCCGTCAACGGCAACTGCCCTCTCTCTGCCGCCGCCGCCGCCGCCGCTCTCCAACGGCGCGAAGTAAAACGGGAGCCCGCTCCCGCCGTTGGAGGTCGGATCGGCGGCGGCGACGTCCAGGCCGAATCTCCGATCACCGCCGTTGAAGCCGAAGCCGTCCCCGAGACTGCTGCGGTGGCTGCCGAAGCCGTCGATGGTGACGGTGGAGCTGCCGAGGCAGGGGTCGTCTCCGCTGCTGGCGTCAGTGCCGCTCAAGCCCGACCTGTCGCTGCCGTCGTAGCCGCTGCTTGCAACACCACCGCCAACTGCTGACGGAGACGGCCTCTCGTCTTCGATGACCCGGGTCTCGTGCTGGGGCGGCAACAGGGTCCCTCCCCCCGGCAACGCCATACCCCCGGGGCGGGCAGAAGTAACGCCTCCGCCGCCACCGCCGAGAGGCGGCGGCGGCGGCGGCGGTGTCCGCCTGACCCGTCCAGCGGCGGCACCGCCCTCGCGCTTCATCTTCTTCGAGAAGGACGCGGCCAACTTCGACTCCGACTGCAGGGCCTGGATCATGCCCCTCTTGCCGGTACCCCCACCGGCTCCACCGCCACCCCCAAAAGGCGGCAAGGATGATCGGGGAGCGGCGGCGGCCGCCGACGACCCTCCTGAGGACCCGCTGGCCGCGCAGGCGGCCGCGAATGCGCCGCCTCCCGTTGTCCGAGAGGACGAAGACAAAGACGACGAAGACGGCGACGGCGACGGCGGTTTCGACGCAGTGACTCTTGGCGTGCTGGACGTGCAAGTGGACGTGGAAGAGGAGGAGGAAGATGTCTTGGGAATCTTGCGAGGTTTCCTCTTGCAGTACTTGGTGCCCTGGTTGTATGAAGCATGCATGCATACGAAGAACAAACCAGGCAAGGGGGGTCAGTCACGTGGCACAGCAGTGCAGCAGCAGCAGGAGCGTGGGGGTGCTTCCGGTTGGGCATGCACAACACACACACGCATGTTGTATGTCGTTCTCGGATTCTCAGAGGGCAACCGCCCGGCCGTGGATTTTTGCACTTGATGCCACATCATTTTTTGCGACTGCGTCTTCACTACTGCTGTTGGGGTGACTATGGACAAAAAAAAAGGAAAAAAGTGAGTGTGACACGACAAATCCCTCAACAGTCTACAAGATGGATTAGCGTCAGCGAAGCCACCTCTATTTGCACGATTCCCAAGGGAGTCTACATACTATACAGCGATATCTTCCTTTTATGGGTAACAGGCTCGACGAGAAGACGGGTTGGTGCCATCTTATGTATCTACAGCACTCTATTTGTATGTTATGGATGTGTTTGGGTAGAATCCAACGTATGAAGCTAGAGGTCGCCCCGGTAGTCTAGTTGATGCTCTCGAAAATCTTGTAGAGGTCAGGGCAGGGATTCGAATCCCGGCGCAAGCGAGCTAATCCTAATCCTGCACATTGAGCTTTTCTTTCGCTTCCGCTCCTGGCCTAGTGGATAGCGCTATTTGGTGTGTACGCAGCGGAAAGAGAGCGCTCAACTCTTCTCGCATCAACAATCGAAGGAAATGTACCGTAAGAGGGGAGGGTAGGGAGGGGCCCTTCTGTGTGACCACGGCACCAGTAGCTAGTGCTGTGAGCGCTGATTTTGAAGTAAAGCAAAAAAAAAAAAGCTGGCGAGTTACACAGCTTGCTAACCATCAAGACTGGATTTTGAGCCTGGAGTTTTTTCCCTGTGGCAAGACAAAGACACACACAGCTTTTCCAAGCTGCAGGGGTCTATCTAACCTACCGACGTGTAGCTATCACCATCATGGCCGGGAGAGAGACCCAGACAGACAGGCAAAGAGTGAAACAACAAACAAAGGGGGGCCTCTTCTCGGAGCCACCGGTCTGTAGGTTCAAACTCGAGAGCCTCGTACAGTCGACCCCGCTTTACGGACGCACACGGTTTTTCCTGAAAAAAGCGTCCTTGAGCGAGGTTGCGTCCTTAACATTCAGGGGACGATAGCTCACCATCTCTGGGACCAATGGAGGCATGCTAATACCCTTTCTTCCCCTCGCTGCCTCGGCAAGGTTTTGCGTAGGCATGACCCATAGCGAGGGGGGTGGTCTTTCCAGCGAGCAGGGCTAGACTCATCCTCAGGGGACCGATACCTTCTTGCTGCGGCACACCCGCCGCGAGGCGTGCGTAGTGGTGGAGTTGGGTCGGCACTGGTGCGCCAGGTACAAAGGTGCAGATGCGCGGGCCTCCAGGCCGTCGGTGTAGGCAGCAATGCCCATCTCATCTTTGTGCGCGGAGGCAGACGTCATCAGAAAGGTGGACGGGCACTATGTACACGGCCCTAGGTTTGCTAGAGGGAGCTGTACTGTCTCAGTAACCTGGTTTTGCCATCAAAGGAGGAGGGGACAGGTGGTGACGAGCTGATTGGGCTGGTTGACCCTTCGGCGCGAGAATCTTCAGACCGAGAACCCTAAGTGCGACGAGGGAGAAAGCGAGGAACCGACTGGGAAGGACAGCAACGAGAGCGTGTACGAAGCGGAGCGGAGCGGGTTGAGTTTGGTCGTGCTAGGACTGGCCACAGCGGCACCGGAGCAGCGGCACCGGAGCAGCGGCACCGGAGCAGCGGAACCGGAGCAGCGGAACCGGAGCAGGCGGACGGTATCGACCGTGGCGCACGGACAAACATCTCTTGCATTGTCAATTATTTTTCCGTTTTTTTCCTGAATACAGGTGTGGGGTGTGTGTGATGACGTCACTGGTTTTGTATAGAGACGNTTCTCGTTTTTTTCCTGATTTTCGGTGTTGGTTCTATGTGATGACGTCGTCACTGGTTTTGTAGAGAGACCCGTCAGAGATGGCGTGGCTAACCCGGGTGCCTTGGTTATGTGCCTGATCGTGGAAGACCCCTTCAATGTGGAACGATTCCTTGTCAGTGTCTATGTTTACACTGCTGTGCCTAACACAGATGATCTGGATAGATTCGGGTGATTGTCAATTGCAATGATGGCTTTGGTTGGGCGTTCTTCTTCATTGTATGTCCACGGGCTCATTCTGACAGCACTTCAGACAGCAGCTCCATGCCCCAAGCTTGTGTACCATGCACCGTGATGTTATTATTGTACAGACAGCACTTCAGACAGCAGTACGCTGTAGTCGACAAACATTCATTTTGGTTAAATGCGGGACAAGGGGGGTGATGCTGCTGCTGTAGTCGATTTGAAGTGTGTGGGCGTGTAGTTCAGTTTGAGCACGCAAACGTGCTGCAGGGATTGCAGGTGTACCTCCTCGGGCTTGCGCACCCTTTCCTTGCTAGTAGTGTGTGTGTTCTTCAGATTTTCTGATGGCTCTAGCATTTTTGTGACCACGGACCGAGTCTTTGCTAGATTTTGGGATTAGCAACTGACACGAGTTAATGTGAAGAAAAACAACAACCACAATACCTCAAACTACGCGTCTTTTGCGAAGAATGGGGGTGGTACGACAAGTCAGCATCGCCGAGACGACTGGCAACCGTTTGTTGACGTCCAACATATTTACAATACTTGAAATGAGATGTACAGCAGTCGGGGACGTGCTGAAAACTACAGTACACCAGTTTGTACTTGGCCAACTAATGTACTGCATCGCGGGCAGCGGAAGAAGGAGGAAAGTCCAAGTAGACATACTTCCTCTGTCACATAAGTAAAGTCCGTTATGATTACACGGCCATTTAGCCGTGTCCGATGTCTCAGGCGATACTGTTTTTGAAATCTTGAGCGTTTTTCGGGTTGAAACCCATATTTTTTTTTTCTTGCGCACTACCCTGCATGCACTAGCGGCTTACAAAAAAGTAGTCAGGCCAAAAAGGCCGTATTTTGCCCCTTTCCATGAGGGTGGGGGTGGGGGCACGAAACGAAACATACCAAAAAAATACAAGAATGATCCCGAACCCTAAACCCAAGGTTACCTCTACTGAACAATCCATTTCGCGTCCTCCCGAACAAAAACCACCATAGTAGTGAACCCACACTAAAATCAAGACATTTTCGAGGCCAACACTAAAACCAAGACACTTGGGGGCGCCACACTAAAATCAAGTTACTTGCGGGGCAAAGCTTGTGGCGCGTGCTGAACTTTATTTTTATCGCGGCGACAGGCGTAGGGTCCTAACCCTACCCCCCCCTTGTACTCAACGACCCATGTCGCGTCCGCCCAATGTTTTCTGGGGTAATCACTACCAACGCCGTACCGCTCGGCGAGGGGGCCTAGAAAGCCCTTGGGTACCCTTTCTTTGCCCGGCGGAATCGCCAACGCTATCTCCACCGCCATGGCGTACCGACGACCCAACGATACTTCCGCACCCCGCTTACGACGTGGGGGTGTCTGGGCGTCGTCCCCCATGATAGCTACGTCGTTGTGGTGGTAGTGGGTGCTCACACAGCACAAAGCTGCAAATATTCTTTAAAATATTCTCAAAATGTTTTCAAAATATTCCCAAAATATTCGCAAAATAGTCCCGTATTTGACACACTAATTTTCAGTGTTTGTGAGTCGGATTTTTTTTTTTGTAAAGTCATGTGCGTAACAAGCGCTTTCCAACAAACCTAACTAGAGCTTCAGGAACACCTTGGCTGGTGAGGTATGTAAATTCCCCCATAACGGACTTTACTTATGTGACAGAGGAAGTATATATTTATCTCATTCTTGTGAAACAAAAGAAAAACGAGCGTATTACAGCCTCGCACCGAGGAACACCAGTACAGATCACTGTCCCGGCGGAGACCGAAAGCTACCCTGATGGCTTTTCCTTCCACATATCGCGAGGAGTTCCCTGAACCTCCCCCCGCGGCTTGGCTCTTCTACGGCTCTGTTGATTTTCATGAGTAAACGAATGAACGGTCTTCGAAAGAAGGTACTGCGTCTCACGGTACTCGCCACCCCTTACCTTCGCGTACAAATACAGATAGCGCCCGCAGTTAAGAAAAATTATGCAAGAAGAAAGGCTCAACTTTATACGAAAAATAAGAAAAAAGGGCTATGAAACATAGCTCAATCTCGGCCACAACGTGAGCAACGCCCCAATAAGAAAGATGATGGTGCGATACCCCCATGACATCAGAAATCTGCGGTGCTCCCACCCCCCTCCGAAGCTGAACAGAAGAAGTGCATTTTTTTTGCAAGGGGCCGAGTCCCCCCCACCCCCCCCCGCGCCCCTGCTGTTCACAGTGAGTGCTGTACTGTAGTACTGCCACACATCGCGGACAACCATCTGCTCTCCGCTGTGGTACGGGTTTGATCGCACTCTCCACCACCTCTCTTGAGGGCTTGATGATGTGGATTGTCCTCAGAGATCAAAAGACAGAAAAAAAGAAAATACGAAGTACTTGTAGTTTCTATTTGTAAGGGAATCGGGAGGTACGACAGTCCAAAGGAAGAAGAAATGCCATTTACGAAATCGACGAATTGGGCCGGTACTCCGACCCAACAGAAGGGATTGGTGAGGCTCGAACCGATTTTGACGTTTCTTAACTGCGGGCGCTATCTGTAGGATCGAACGTCCTCCAAGCGAGAGATAACCTCGCCCTCGGTGAGGGACGAGGTTATGCACGACTCTTTTTTTTTGGCGGCATCAGATGGACCGCCGGTAGATGGGAGAAACCTGTCCATACCAAGCCCAGTTGCAGCTGCAGCAGCAGACCGCTCGCTACTTCTGCTGGCTGTGCGTCGCTACTTCTGCACTCACTGCTGTGGTGCGTGGTTCGTGCAACGAGCGGCCCGCAGGCCGGCAGGAAAAAAAAAAGAGGGGTACGCGGCAGAAAATGGGGGTACTACATTATCGTATATTCTGCCGGGCCCCCAGTGCCCAGCAAAACAAGTGCAGTGCTGCACGACTGAAAAAAATAAAAAGTAAGTGTGAGAAAAAACGCTTCCAACGGGAAAGCAGCCCCCTGTGGAAACCCCTCGGATCAGGCGGCTCGCGGCGCAACACACCTCCACACCCAGCACGGGCTCTAGAGGGCGAACCAGAGGCTAAACTGCCCAGACAACTCGAGAGGTATGTTAACACGATGCAAGGGCACATC